CTGTTGCATTTATGTTGGCAACAATAATCAAGGATCCAAAAATCTTAGTTTGATAAGGTGAACTCCATAAATGTAACCCTGTAAATGTCAACCCATAATATCTGTCAGAGTCAGAGAGTCAGAGATTCGCACGCACATCAACATTAAACATATCAGCAGCAACATGAAACAGATCAGCAGCAACGTGATGTGATTTTTCACAGTGATTATTCTGGTTAGAGATTCATGAGTCTAACAGCTTCAGGGTAGAAGCTGTTCCTCAGTCTAGTGGTTCTACACTCAATGCTCCTCAACCTCCTTCCTGAGGATAGTGGGGCAAAAAGTGTGTGTGCTGGGTGAGTGGGGTCCTTCCTGATGCAGGTGGCCCTCTTCCTGCATCTGGAGGTGTAGATGTTGTTAACATTACGTTCATAGCTCAATTTACCCTGAATAAACTGAAACAAGCAGGAAGTTCATGTTTATTTTCGAACTACAGCAATATTAGATCTCTTTTTATTGTTTAAATATTGCTATTTTAGACTGAAAGAAACTGTTGTTTTGTGAAGATACTTGTATAAACACTGCTTTCCTTTATAACCATTAGCACAATGATAATGATAATGATTCTGCAGCTGTGCAGCCTCCATGCCACACATTGATGCTCGAGCACAGGATGCTCTCCACTGCACACCTGTAGAAGGAGGTGAGGACTGAGCTTCCCAGACCAGCTCGTCTCAGCCGCTTGAGGAAGTAGAGTCTCTGATGAGCTTTCTTGATCAGGCTGGTGGTGTTGTTGCTCCAGCTGAGGTTGTCATTCATGTGTACACCCAAGTACTTGTAGCTGGCGACCACTTCCACCGCAGATCCTCTTATGTTCAGGGGTTGTAGATGTTTTTGTTCCTTCTGAAGTCCACAATCTTCTCCTTTGTCTTCTTCACATTGATGTGAAGGTTATTCTCTTTGCACCAGCTCTCCAGGTGTTCCACCTCCTGCCTGTAGCTGGACTCATCATTGTTTGTGATGCATCCCACCACCGCTGTATCATCTACAAACTTTACAATGTGACAGCCTGGATTGGTAGCTAGCTGCACAATCATATGTGAGCAGAGTAAACAGGAGAGGGCTCAACACACATCCTTGAGGAGAGCCAGTGCTGAAGTTTATGGTGGAGGAAGAGAAGTTGTGGATCCTCACTAACTGTGGTCTGTTTGTTAAGAAGTCTAGTACCCAGTTGCAAATGGAGGGGCTTAGTCCTAGTGTGAAAAGTTTGTCCATCAGGGTTTGGGGGATCATGGTGTTGAAGGTGGATGTGAAGTCCACAAAGAGCATACGGACATAAGAGTCTTTCTGCTCCAGGTGGTTGAGCACAGTGTGGACCACAGAGGAGATGTCACCTCTGCTGATCGGTTCTAACGGTATGCATACTGATGAGGGTCCTCGTTGATGTTGATGGTTGTTTTGATGCGAGTCATGACCAGTTTTTCGTCTGTGTTCCTCCTATGATGGTTTGTCAACATGTTAAGGTGCACCCCACCTCTCACACAACAACTACCCCAACCCCCCTCCCTGTGATCCTGAACAGGATTAAGTAAATACAAAGGTAGAGAAAATGAATGAACGAGTTTCTTTCTTGAGTGGAAAAAGCAAACAAAGAAAAACAATAAAGGAAACATGTTCTTACTGCAAATAAGGTAATTTATCTTTCAGTGTTAAATTGTAAACTCTGTCACTTATAAATACTGAGATTTTGGCTTTGAAGCAACACAACAAAAATAAAAATAAGTGAAAAAAAATAACATTTCTGTTTACTGGCCAATTCAAAGAAAAAAAAAGCAGGGTTTTATTCATGACTGCTTTATAGATTTTGAATAGATCTTTCAAGTGAGAGATGTCCCCCATTTCTTGTACCATTTAACAAAAAAAGTTTTTAACAGAACAATGCTGCTATCACCATGTTTAACTTAGTGTTTAATGAGGTTACACTCAGTACTGAGTTTCTTCTACACATTTTAAAAATGTGGCCAATTAGCTCAGTTGTTTCATTAGATCGAAGGTGGCAGATAGCACGATCTGAAAAACATGCTATACTTTTAGGAAACAACCAAACTAAATTATTAAGAGTTTTGAAAGATTTCCAAATCTGAAAACCTTTTGTATATTTGTATATACAAGATACATTCTTTTCTGCTTTAGCCACATGCAGGTGTCCAAGTTAAGGGCCAAACTAAGGGATGACTGTATGTCTTTTTGTCAGCACCACACTGTGATGCCAAAGCAGAAAACAACAGCTAACCCCCAGAGCTGCTTGAAATTTGGGAGCTTAGATGCACATTAAATGCTGTAGGTAACAAAACTAGTGCAGTGCAATTGATCTTAGCTATGTGCAAAGGCAGGACTTTGGGGAAATCAGACGCTTCATTAAAGTTTCATATTGCATTGCGCTCTTGCAGTTTCATCTTGTGTCTCCCTGTACTAATGGGCCCAAACTGAGACTCACAGATGAAGTTTGCATTATAAGGGCTGTAACTATTGTATTAAACTAAAAAAGTTTGATATTATTGTAATTTTTCAAACCCTTTCTTTAAATGACCTCATGGATTGTAAAAACTGTAGAAACTTACATTTTCAAGTACTTTCTAAACAGTTGCTTAAATAATGCATTTGGATAAAATACAATAATGTAGCTTTTATTTTATTGTATTGTCCATTTACAAATGTGCCGTGAAAAAAAAACAAAAAAACTACCAATTTGTGTAAGTCTTATTTTTGCCCATATTCAACTGGACTGGGCTACTAGATAAACCAGCAAAACATGTTTAAAGTGCATTTTTTTGTTAGGCATGAATAAGAATTAGTGATAGCTGTTAGCTTGAGCAACATTCAAAGCATGAAATCAACTGATAATCTAAATGAGCTAAAGCTGTATATGGTTATGTTTATTAATATAATAAATATATATATATATATATATATATATATATATATATATATATATATATATATTATTGTAATATATATTTATTTTTAAAATATACAAAGAACAGAGAAATTGCAATTTATAATTTATGCAAACTATGCATCCTGATTGTTTTTAAATCATTTGCCTAAGTATTATACTTGGATTGAACCATAAAATGCACTCAGTGGTTACACAAGTGTTGACAACCTGTTTGGATGTCGTGCATTTTACAGCTCACTCCTGGTCTAATTTGTACTTTTAGTCTCAGGCATTCTGAAAAGTATTTAGCTTTGCGTCATGCATGATAGTTATATCACTTTCCATGACTTAATAAATCTTCTCATAACTCTTTTGCCCCTTTATTATCTGGAAAAGAAGTTCTCCTGTGGTGTCTGTGTAGCCAGCCCACTGAGCTCACAGTGAGTCCCAGAGTTTTAACCTTCAATCCACAAAAGTGTTTTTTTTTTTTTTTCCTCTCTCTCTCTCTCTCTCTGCTTAGGCTGCACTCTCGTTGGTGTGCTCATGTCGCCATGTGTTTATAGCAAACCACCTCATGCGACAACTGTGACCATTTGAAACACACACTCAAAAATCAAGCATGCTTATCTTTAAATTTCTCCAATGAAGAATACACAACGCAGTCCTCCAACCACCACAACAAAGCCAACCTGATGGTGTCAAGACATTTAGTGACTACAGCTTTATCTCATCCTCTGCATAGATTGCCTCTTGATAGGTGCAGTGTAGGTAAGATGGGTTGGCACAACGGAGCGTGAGGGAGACAGCAGAAGTAGAGAAGAAAAAATAAAATAAGATGAGATGAAAGGAGAAAGTTAGAATTTAAAAGAAGGAAAAGGGTTGATGTTTGAAGTCTGCAACAGTCCAATTAGTCTGCTCTTTTCTCTCTTTCACACACACACAAAAGTTTGTCTTTCTATCTTTAGAGGGACTTTGCTTTGACTTCCATTCATTTTTCATTCATTTCTATATCCTAACAATCACATTTACCCTAAACCTAACCTTTACCAGAACATACCTAACCCTAAACCTACCACATCCTCAATTCACACCTTAGTCCTAAACCTAACCCCTAACCCACTACAGCACTTCTTCCTATGGGGCCCGGACTTTGGACCCCATAAGGAGCAGCTGGTCCTCACAATGTAGTATAAGTTGGAAAAATGAGCCTTACAAAGTAACACAAACAAAAACACACACATGCACAGATCACACCCCCCACCCCCACCAGGCACACACAAAACTCTGCCTTGTCAGTGAGGCAAAGAGCCGGTAAGAGAGGACACAGGGAAAGAGAATGATGGTGATGGGGAGTGAAAGTGGCAGTGAGTTTTGGAGAAATGGCAGAAACCAAGGGAGGGCAGCTTCCTTGTTCGTGACAGCAGCTGAAATCCAATCCACTTGAGGGAAAGGAAAACGACACCTCCCATGAAGGAAATGCTCAGGGAAAACAAGGCATATGAAGGGGTGGTGGGGGGAGCATGAGGTAGAAATGACAGAAAAGTGACATAAAAAAGTACTATAAAAATCTATGTGTGGGAGAGTCACAGAAACAGAAGGAAGAGGCAAAATGCACTGATTGTTTAGACATTTGGGCTTATTAGAAACAGGTGAATATTCTGATGGTTTTGGTCAGCGTGGGTGGGTTCTTCAGTCAAACTGCACGATGAGCCAGTGTACTGTTGGGTCACAGTAAACCCCATGCCTGTCAGACAACTTAAGCAACATTTTCTGGAGATATTTTTAATCTGCAGATTTCTGAATGTTTTTTATTTATTTTTTGCTTTAAACATTGCCATTCATAACTTGAGCTGTGATGAAGCCAATGGTGCAATCTTCTAATCCTGAGGCTGCAGGTTCAAGCCCAAGTTACATCAGTAAGGGCATCTGGCCTAAAACTCTTTCCAAATCTTTGGTGCACAAAAAAACACTGGCATAGCTCTCTGCTAATACTTTTGTGAAGAGGAAAATGAAACCAGTATTGCTCCATTTGAGTAGTATCAGGCTTTGTGTGATTAGAGTTGTTTGCTCCTTGTTTTTACAGACCTCGATGTTCCAGTTCTCACAGTGCACCAGACCATCGGCGATATACGTGTTGGTTTCTATCATGAGAAAACGGTGTTCCTTCGCTGCACTGTCAACTCCAACCCTCCTGCACGATTCATCTGGAAACGTGGCAGTAGGACCATAGAGCAGAGCAAGGACAATGGAGTGGACATCTATGAGCCTCTTTACACTCAGGTACACGTGCAGGACAGACACACTGCCAAATGTGCAGTCACTTCCTGCTTTTAATTCTACCACCACCACCATAGGCTAAAACTATTTCTATGAAGCTGCAGCCAGAGACAAATGGTATAAAATGATTTAAGTGTTCATAGGGTTACATTTAAACAACCACATATCTTGTAAAATCCCATCATAGTTTGTCTAAACTCCGAGATCCTGCAGTCTTTGGCAAACTGAGCAACACAAATGGCCTTTATAAGACATTATGTACAGTTTGTATGATTTTACAATGGGACAACACCAAAAAAAAAAAAAAAAATTATGTATAATATTTTACCTGTTTGGAAGTCAAAATTATTCCATGTTAGACTTATTGGTTTCTCTGTTAAGTTGTTTTGTTTGTTTGCTTGCTTGCTTTGTGAAAATTTGTTGTGCAATAACCCTCAAACAATTTGTAATGCCTCATAATTTAAAGATTTGAAAGAGATTATTTGACATCTGGAAATACCTTTGAAAATGAGTTACCTTTTAGTATAACAACACAAGTGTGCACAGTAAATAAATACATAAATAACTATACAAAAAATGCATGTTCTTTTCTTGGTTATCCAAGTGCAGCTTGCACCCACATAATAATCATATAAGAAGTATTAGTCTTCATCTTTTAAAACAATATGTTTCCATTCCTTTTAGGTATTTATGACTAATAATCCATGCTGCTTATGTACAAATTGAAAAGTACAATGTGTCATATTGTAAAAGCTTACTATAGTGTCACATAGTTAACCTGCCAATGAAGGCCAGCTGTAATTTAACAGCAATCCAAAAAAAAAAAAAAGTTTTTCAAAGTTATATATTTGCTGTTTCCTTTTATTCTGTTGTCCATCCTTTGACGATCTGAACAATTTTCCTAATGGTTCCATGCAGAAGCATTTTAAAATATGTCATTCATCTATTTTAAGTCCGCATGTAGAGTAGAAGAGATTGTGTTTATCATCAGAGCTTGTAAAAAACACAAACCCATAATCACTGATGTAATGTTATTTGCATAGCAATAAAAATGTAGTTACAAAATATGTTTAAAGTTTTGGTTTTAAGTAAATGTAAAATAAAAAGGTTAGAAATGATTTCTCAGTGCATGTTGTGTGTGTTGGTTGTCCCATCTAGGGTGAAACCAAGGTGCTGAAACTAAAAAACCTGAGACCCAAGGACTTTGCTGATTACACCTGCCAGGTGTCTGTCCGAAACGTGTGTAACATCGAAGACAAGTCGGTCAAATTTATTCTCACAAATACCACATGTGAGTATTTTAATATGTACTTTTTTCAAGTCATGAAAAGACAAATGCTTGAAATGCTGCAGACATCCATGCTTTCACACAGCCAAGGTTTTTCTCCTTTTCCATTGACTCTCTGGCTTTGATTTATTCACTCTGTATTTTGTTCTTTGATACTCTATCTGACTTTTCTCTGCATGCTTGCAGTGCTTTGGCTCAGGAATCTCGCACTCTGTGTCTCTTTCTCTCTTTGTAAAGTGTTTTCCCTCTTTTTACTCAAGGATTGTCTCATCTTCTCTCTTTCTTCTGTATAGTTTGTTCTTTCTGCTTCCATTTCTGTCTGTGTATTTTTCTTCTCCTGGCTTTTGACTCTCCAATAAAATTTCCTTGCAGTGTCTCTATCTCCTGCCAGCCTCCCTGTGTGCAGCGTTGTCTGTCTAGTTTTTCTGTTGCTGAGAGCTCATCTCAGGGCCGTCAGCTGTAATTCAGTTGTCACGCTCCCTGTTATCTCCAATTCTCTCTGCGCCGCTCTGTCCATCTACATGCCACCACCCAGAAACTCTGTTACTTACGACAACATTGTTGCCGTTGACAGCCCTGTCAGGTTTGTTACGGTCAAACTGATAACGCCACAAAGGGAAGACTCATACTTTTGCATCGTATTTCAAATATTTTATTCTTCTTCGTTTTTTTTATAACCTCATTTTCTAAATACCAGTGAGCTCAGATCTAGATCAGTAAAAACTGCTAGATAATTATGTGCTTTAAAATATTTTATGCAGCTTTTTGTCCGTTGTATTTAGTTATTTAAGCGTAGTAATGGAGGACCTTGTCCAATTTAATGAACCAAGCTTCTTATAAATCATAAATGCAGAACTTGTGGCTGAGCAGCTATGAGACGATATGAAGGGCTTCTTTTCATAATTTTATATTTAGCATGGCGACAGAGGCTGTTAAAACAAGCACGGCAAAGAGAAAACAAACTTGTAATGATTGAATTTATTGAAAAGAGACTCTCGACTGGAAATGCAGCCCACATGCCAAACTTCCACACTTGCTATAAAATTAAAGATTAATATTCCCTTTAAGCAGTAGTTTGACATTTTTGGTAATGCCTTGTTGTTTTTTTTGCTATATTTTGTAGATGAAAAGCTCTACTGCACTTTTTTTTTCCCGTATCAGCAAACATCCTTCGTTTGCTTTGATCAAAGGTAACACAATCTGTCAACTAGTACCTCTAAGGGTTTATAGTTTATAGAGTTTAGGCAACTCATTTATTGCATCAACAGGAAAAGTGAAGCATTTAAGAAGCAAGTCACTGATAGTGACCAAGTTATATAAATATAGTTGAGCTAACACCAGCATGTCCTCAAAGTACAGGTTGGTTATAGTATTTTAACCTGTTTGTTGCTCGCTTACAGTAAGAAATACACATTTTTGGGATTTCTATGACTAAAACAAATTATTCAGGTTCAGTATTTATAACAGCAATAAGTCATCAATGAGATTGGACACCAAGTTTCTTATCGGGCTTTATTGTGAGCTGAATGTGTGAAAAATCAAATGAAGCAAAAGAAAGGTCCAAAAACATAACAACTACATAAAACATTTCAGAAACAAACTATAAAGTAGAATAGGATAAAGGAAACATAGTCCACATAAAAATATACTGCTGAAACAAAAATATATAGTTAAAGACAAGATGTTAGGATAGGATAGTCCAGATTTTTTTAGGTAGGGTTTGGTGGAAAAGTCATAGACAATATCTTACCAGCTGTTTGATGACCTCAGGTTGAACAATAGTTTCAATGAGCAGACTGATGAGCTAACAGCTAGTGCCAGTGGGGACCAGAACAATTGTTGCCATTTTAAAACAACCTTAGTCTCAAAAATGTTGTTTCAAACTAATATTTGCATCACTATCTGGAGAGGGCTATACAGTCCATTTACCATTTATTAGTTTTGCATTTTGTAGTTATAGCAGAAATTATAGGATATTACTACCTAAAGTGACCCAGGCTGCACCAGAAAAGTTACAGCTAGATGCTTTTTGCTCTTGCAATAACCACAGAGCGTGAAGTAAACTACAATGCAATGTAAAATTGATGACTGTGTAATAGGCACTAAAATAGGATTTGTATAAACCGTTATTTTTTTTTTATATATATCTGAGTTTGAAGATGGTAGCAATTTCGTTGCCCCACTTTGAGTAGTCGTTAGCTCGCTAATTTGATCAAAATTAAACTCTTTTTCTTTTTTTTCTTTTTTCCCAAATTTAATCCATTCAAAGAGATGTCTACAACAAGTATTTAATGTTCAAGATCTTTTCACAGAAACACACTTTGAAAGATTTTAAATATACTTTAAATTAGAGAGCACATGACCATGGTTTAGAAATGATGATCTATAATAGAATAAAACTAGAATGCCATCACGTTTAGCATTTGAAACGTCATGCATTGCTTTTGTTTATCAGTCATAAAACTGCTCAGTTGTAAAATCAACCATCAGGAAGTGAAACCAGTCTCTACAGATCTTAACGGCTTGCATTGTGGGTAATAGGTGTTTTTCATTCTCAGAGCCGCAGCATTCCTCACCTCTCCTTTTGGGCTCCTGCAGCTGAGATCAATCGTATCCCGACAGTGCAGTCAGCACAGGCTCAAAGCCCCCCCCCCCCCCCCCCCCCCCCCCCCCCCCCCTCCCAAACACACACTCACACACACACAGCAGCCACAATAATAACCGTCTGCCCAGCATCGGGGCTCTGGGACTTGGCAAAACAACCAATCTGTCTGGACCTCACAGCCTCAAAGACTGATGGAGAAACTCTGCTTAGAATGTGTGTGTTTGTCTTTGGTACATGAGCAGGGCCACCGCCTGCAAGTTTGTGTGAGACAAAGAAAAAGACAAGTGGTTGTGCATAAGTGAGTTTTGATCTTCATTCCCTAAACTCCTCTGCAGTCCACAGAAACAGAACTAATGCGATATAAACTACTGGAGTAAAGAACAGGAACTTTACCTTAAAGCTAATTATTATTATTTGTTTGGTTTTTGTTTTATGTATGTCAGGATCTGTAATTGTGTTAGTTTTATTTTAAACTGTTTGTGTCATTATGTTAGGGATATTTAACGTGTTAAGTTTTTAGTTATGTTCATTTGCGTATTCCTTGCATTTTCTGTGCGCCTACACTCGTTCCTCCTCTGTCAGTTTCTAATACTCATCTGCTCCTAGTCAGCATTCAGCTCAGATGTTCCTCATTTACGTATCAGCCTCAATCCATAACATCTCTGTTTCATTTTAGTAGTCAGCTAGGTACTTATACCAATAATACATCCATGGATACTCACAAACCCAATAGTGCATCTGAATTTTTGGAAAATAAAGGAAATAAAAATGTTTTAAACACAAATACAGTTATAGAATGCATTAACTAATAATATGGATATGTAAAAAATAAACATATATGCATCAAATGATGCAGCGGATTGGGTTGGGGGCAACATTCATTGCGCCAGAGTTTGGTGATAAAATAGGGAAGTGAATCAGCGAGAAATTATCTGTTTACACATGGTTACAATATTACTCGCTGTTCAATGGGTTGAGGATAATTAACCACTTAGATTAATTATCTGCTCAGGTTCCAGTTCTTCATTATTGAGTATGAAAAATAGTTGTTCAGAAAGCAGATGGAAATACGACAACCACTGTGCAGAAGTAAAATGATGGGTTAAACTGTTTTGTTTGTATGGATACCAGCTCATATAGGAACAGAAGGAAATGAAATTGTCAGACAAAGTTGCAAAAAACACTACCAGAAATGGTTTAATTGAAATGGATATAAAACTCAGTCGAGCAGAAATAAAAAGCACCATAAAGGGGAAAAAAAAAAAACCGAGGGAAAGATGGCAAAAACAATGGGAAGATGAAAGAAAGGGTAGATGTTTTTATAGAATTCAATGAAAAACAGAAAAAATGAGGAGAGCTGAAAGAAACGGGAGGGAACGTTTGTATCACGACTCAGATTTGGACACGGAACATAAAAGAACATTCATATATTCATAATAGAGAAATATAATACAGGTAAATGTGAATACTGTGAAGAAAATGAGAGCATGTGTTATTAAACTGCCAGAAATATGAAAGAACTCAACTGATTAACAGTCTCGCTAAAATAAAAGTTACATTTGATTCAGCTGAATTACTGCAGAATTCAAAATCTAATGGTACTCAGGCTTTAATAGAATATCTGTAAAAGACATTTGTTTGAAAGAATATGCTTTTATTTTTTTAAGCGTCGTTCCAGTCCACACTCCTTACCAGTTAGTGGCGGTAATGCACCAATAATGGTCTGCCAAACGCAAATTAAAACCAAAGAAGAAGAAGTAGTCAGTGGATCAGTGACCACTGGTGTGCATTTCCCTTTATGATTCTTACATGCTTCTTGTGATCCTTCTAGTTTTGTGTGAGTAGATTTTTGTTACTATGTACGACAGAGCTTTAGGGCCAGGCTAAAAATAAATTAATAAATTACATTGCCATGCTAAAAAAAAAAAGAAAGCCATAAAATTATGAGAATAACATTGTAGAATTACGAGAATAAAGTCATATGAGACTTTTTTACAGCTGTCATTTTTTTTTTTTTTTCACGAATCGGATCTACGACGCGACCTGTAGGTGTGTCAGCAAATGACCAATCTGAAGCTAAATGCTCCTTACCGGCAGAGAGCTGCACTGCAGCCCATCAGAGCAAATCAAAGTCCTGATAATAATAATCTGATGCTGATGTGCTAACAGATTACACAGTTTTGCTCACTTAGCGCCGTTTTCAAACGGAATCAAGAACGAAACTCAAGACGTGATGACCTAAAGTATATGCATCCCAGAAGCAGCATACAAAAACACAACAGTAGGTGGCAGCAGTGTTGCCAGGTGTACGGTAATTATCGTATTTGTATGACAATTTTGCCCTCTGTACGATGTACGATCAATAATCCCAAAAAAAGGCCAAATATACAATAATTTG